CATGATCCGAACGGGTACCATGAGCCAATTGTTCACGCCCTCGAGGTCCGCGAGCGTGGGCGTCGTGCCGCCGACGGCGTAGCTCCCGCGCGCGTTGAGCTCGATGCGCTGCGCGCCGATGGCCTGGGCGTGCAGCGCCGAGGACGGGGAGAAGACTGGTATCTCGAGGTGGATTGGCATCGTGGGCGGCGCTTGCTTTGTGACTGTCATTTGGGTGGTTTGGTTGGTTGTGCTGATTTAAGAGAGTTGATAAAGTGCTCGGGGGTTAAGATAGATTGGATAGTCGATTGGATAACGCGTTGATGTGATAGGTTCAATCGAATTAAGGTAGCGGGAAAAAGTAACGACAACCCTGCAAGTTTCGCTCAACGTTGGTTTGACTTCAAAGAATCGAGGGTAAAAGACACAATCAAAGGATGAAAACCAAAAAGTCAATTGCAAGATGCCCACGTTTTAAAGACTCGAGAGTTCCTGCGATAGTTCTTGTTTGTTCGCCTCTCGTCGCCCATTCTGTCCTTATCAGCCTTGCTTTTGCCCCTTCGCTCGGACGGCACTTTTAATATCAGATCATGCCACCCTTCCTTGCTTGCTGTTCGTGTCAGTACCCCACCGGCGAACATGGAGTCTTGGAGACCTGGACTCGAGAAAGTCGTTCGAGTTTTCCCCCTCGGTTGGCTTAGTCATTATGCATATCTTATTAAACCTGAGACGTGGGATAGAGGGTGGCACAATCGAAGGATGGGGAAGCTATGGTTGGCTGATGCTCAATTCCTATGAAAGGGCTATGGGGAACTATCTCGTGGGGGCCTGGACGACTAGGGTCTATCCTTCTCCCACTGTCTGCATCCCGAAAGCCATGATGGGTATCTCTGCCATTAACCTCATCCCAACGCCTAAACCAAGGCCCGAATCCAGCCAGAATGCTCAACGCCGATGTCGACGTTCGACTGCTTCCTTTTGAATGCAGCTTGAATGCCCATGCCAATGTGAGAGCTTCCAGATCCGTAATGGAGTGGCGATGCCCTTGTAATCACTGGGTCTGTGCTAGTCGCGGGTAAATCCAGCAACTGAATACCAGTGTCGCCCTGATGAAAGTCGCAACATCCTAACCTGGAGAGCAAAGAATGTACATTGTTAGAGGCTCACTCCTTGCGCTGAGACGAGGCGGCCTCAAAGGCCTGGAACATCTCTGGCTCGTACTGAGGCACATGAGCATTCTTCGGGCCGCCGCCCTGATCGTTGCTGTGCTCGCTGAGATGCTGACGAGGAGGGTAGGGAGAGACGTAGGGACGAGGGAATCGCTCGTCCTCGGTCTGTCCATGGTTGTGCATGTAACCGCTCTGGGGGGCGTACTCGGTAGGATTCTGAGGGAGAGGGGCAGAAGAGGCAGAGGGACGCTGGATCTGCTCATTCTGGGGCTCCTCGTGACGATCCATATAGGCTCCCTGGCGGCTGTAGTGCTCGGTGGCATGCTGACGAGCGACCGAAGAGAAAGATGGAGCCCGAAACGCTTCCTTCTCCTGGTAGGCTCCCTGACGGTGCTGATCCTCGTTGGCAGGCTGACGAACAGGGGCAGAAGAAGAGGGATGCTGCAACTGCTCATTCTGAGGCTCCTCGCGACTGTTGCTTTGAGCTCCCTGGCGATGATGATCCTCGTTGACCTGCTGATGAGCAGAGGGACGGCGAGAGCGCTGCTGGTGACCAGAGCTGGCAGTCGAGGGGCGCTGGATGTAGTCCGGAATGGTCGAGGGATAGCCAACGTAGCCGGGAGACGGCGCGGCACTGTGCTGCGCGGAGGTGTCGTGGCTGGACGTCATCGCAACTGAGCTGCGGCCAGAAGACATCGAGACTTGATGATCTGAGTAGCGAGGCATGACATGAGGCTCAACGCGCGCCGAGCTGGCTCGATTTCCAACACGGTCGTCAGAGTAGCCCATGCTCGACTGCTGCGACTGGGGGTACTGGAGTTCCTGGCCGTACTGGTGGGATCCCACGGCAGGCTGGTGACCGTTGTAGCTCGTGGAGTGAGCATTCTGGTGCTGACCAGTGTTGTACGCAGCATTCGCGTGGTATCCCTGGCTACCGGGGGCATGCTGGTTGCGGCTCTGATCGTAGCTCTGGTTGGCGTAGTTCTGATCGTAGCCACGGTTCTGGTCGGAGCTCTGGATGCTGCGGTCCTGGTTGTAGTAGCCGTGGTTGGCATGGTTCTCCTCGTAGCCGAGGTTCTCGTGGTCATGGAAGGAGCCCTGAACGCTACGGTTCTGGTCGTGATAGCCCTGAGTGGCCTGGCTCTGGTCGTAGTCACGATCGTAGCCCCGGTTCTCGTGGTTTTGTCCGGAACCATCGACGCTGCGGTTCTGATCGTAACCACGGCTGCTGGAAGTCTGACCCTGATAGCCCTGGCTGTCGTCTCTTCGACCATGGCACTGGTCGATATACTGTTGACTTTGAGCGGCGTACTCCCGCTCGTAGTATTCGCGGTTTTTGGCGCTCTGATCCCAGTAGGTCTCAGAGTTGGGGCCATTGTCGAATCCCTGGGGGATGGTGGTCTGGCCGTAGTAGTCGCGCGCCTGGTTATAGTGGCCCTGGTTGCCAGAGTTCTGACCGTAAGTTTGAGCTCTAGGGCCCTGATCATAGTAGCCGTGGCTACCAGAATCCTGTCCGTAGTGGCCCTGCATTCTGGGACCCTGATGGTAGAAAGACTGACGGCTGAGCTGCTGTCCGTAGTATGCCTGGGTTCTATGGCCTTGGTCATAGTAGGTATTGGTCTCGAGGGGGGTTGCCATTCGAGCGCGTTCCTGGGGCGGCTGCCGGCCACGCTGAGAGACCCTGGGACTGTCGTACGGGTGAGCACGGAAGTCGCGGTTCCGCGTGACAGCCTTGGGAGGGCGAGGGGGCAGCGACAAGTGCTCCTGCGACATGTTGCGCTGGGACACCAAGCCGGGGCCACGAGGGCTCATATCAGCCACAGGGGCTGAGAAAGTAGGTCGTCGACCCGCAGCACGGTTAACAGCGCGAGCGGCAGTCTCGATCTGCTGGTCCCGAGCAAAGGCGCGAAGATCGTTGTCAACATCGACAACATCGTCATCGTCTCCCTCGCCGTCTTCGTCACCTCCATCATCAACGTAATCTCCGTCGTTGTGGTCAGTTCCCTCAGAGAAGCTGGTTTCGTTCTCCTCATCAGTGGTCTCGCCGGTATGCTTGTCGAAGCTGTCCTGAGCCTGGGCATCCTGGGAAGGAACAGACGCCTCACCCTGCAACTGACTCTTCTTAAGCGCGGCCATGGCACTCTTCATCTCACGTACGTACGGAGCCGCAAAGGGCGAGAAATGCTCCTTGTCGTGATTCTGGAAATAATGCTCCACTGTCTGATTGTTAGCACGGCAAGTAAATCGATCGAATGCGCTGAACGTACCAAGACTGAGCTGGGTGTATTGGCGCTTGGCATTGGGGCCCATCTCCCGCTGCATGATGACGGCCAACTCTTCCCAAGATCTGGCCGAGCCAGCGCAAATCCCTTTCGCCGAAATAGGGACGATGGAACGCCAGAAGACGCGCTCTTCCTCTTTGCTCCACGCTTTGCCGGGCATGTTGGTGTGGTGCAGGATTGTCGCGGTAAGGGTGTCGTAGTTGCGATAGAAAGCTCTCGAGGCAATTCTTATGAGATTCAAGGCTTCTCTTCGCCTCGTGTGTGCTGTTTGGGAAGGAACGGCTGCGAAGTCACAGATATTGGCGGTCGGGAAGAAGAATATTGCTGTGGGTTCAGGAATTCGAAATTGGTTTTTTTTTTGGAAGAATTTGTGCGGCGATCAGTGAAAGCGAGTTGAGTACGCGCTCGCGTCAAAAGTAGGAAGGAATAAGTATGCCCTGAGGAAGTAGGAGTGACCGGACTCCTTTAGGCGGGTGGTAGGTTGATATTTATATTGTGGGTGGTTGAGGCGGCCGTGATGGGCCATGATGGGCCGTGATGAGCTGAGTGACCCCATGGCGGTGAATAGGTGGTGCAGTCGAATCATGATGCGGTCGAAGGGTGACGAGACGGAAAGTTGATGGGACGGAAGGTGATGGGACGGAAGGGTGATGCGATGGAATGCCACCTCTTCCGCCCAAAGCAAATCTTCTGGTTGTGATGCGACGGAATCCCAAGAGGTTGCGGTGAATTGGCGATGCGGTAGAAACATATTGTGGTGAATAGGTTATGTGACGGAGGGGCGATGCGGTTGAAAGGTGATGCAGTGGAAGAGTTTTCTGACGGAAAGGTGATGCGATAGAAGGGCTTTGCGACGGAAGACTGATGTGACGGAGTGGTGATGCGGTCAAGAGTCGATATGGTGAATAGGTTATGCGATGGATTGGTGATGCGACGAAAGGTCGATGCGACGAAAGGTCGATGCGATGAAAGATTGGACGAGTGATGGCCTGCTGGGAAGGAGCAACGGAGGCGAGGTCGGTATCATGGCCGTATTCGAGCAAGGTTACTCGGTCATGGATGACAGAGGGACGACGCAACCATGGACAGGTCTTCAGGAGACAGCAGCAAGCATCCATGTGGCTTCTCAGGATCGATGCCTTGCGTGTGAATGAATGTTGACGAGGATCGATATGGCCAAAGGCTGACCTTTGAAATGTGCAGCTGGAACAAGTGGGTGTGCTTCAAGTCACCCTGAGCAAGCAGAAGCTTGGGACTCCAACCAGTTTTCGGTGATGTCAAAGACAGTCCAACAAACGACTTGCCCCTGAGTTCACCGAAACTCCATCTGCTGCTGAGCCATCTGCTGGATCGTCTTCGACATGTCGATATTCGTCCACCCTCAGCAGAGCACAGCGACAAGACTGCTCCACTGCTCACAGGCCATTCGCACACCGACGTCGTCTGCAAAAGGCCTGTGGAGAGTTGAAGCTGAACTCTCTTTGACCTTGGAGAACTTCAACCGAGGCGAGCAGCACAACGATGCACTGGGCCCTTTGATCCTAGGTCGAAAGCCCGGCTGGAAGACAGCCTACTCAAAAGGACTCTGGGGGTCGGCTGCTTTGTACCCCCTGGCAGTCAACGCTGCTGCCAGTCGCCATTCAAGTCTAGAGAGCTGTAACCAAGTTAGAAACCCATTGCTTGACTCTGGAGGGACGAATACTGACAATGCTCTTCTTCTCGGGAGCAATAACACCCTCTCTGATCCAAAATCCCCAGCCGCCCATCATGTTGGCCAGCATCATGTCGGTGGTCAAGCGATCGCCGACGACGGCAACCTGAGACGGATGGGAGACGCCCGTCTCGGGGTGCTTGCGAAAGTACTCCATAATCTCGGAGCCACAGCCGGGCTTCTTCGTCTTGTGAGGCAGGACGGTGATGCCGGTGGCCTCTTCGAGCTCCTTGGCCAGCTTGAGGGAGCTGTCATAGGACGTCGCTCCGGCCGTGTTGGAGACGATGACCAGCCGGCGGCCAGGATACGCGGCCTTGAGCTGCTCGAAGCGCTCCTTGATGATGATTCAGCGGACTATTTTACACAAGCAAGCATGCAGTGACATACCTTGTAGGGCTTGTGGACCTCGTTGGTGTGGGGAACCGCGAAGCAGTCGTCCTTGTCGAGCACCACGGCCCTGATGTCGCATTTCCGATTCTGGCCCTCAAAGGCTTTTTCAAACGGAATGGGCAGGTCGTTGAACGTCGCGACCGTATGCTGCGGCAGACACAGCGTGGGCTTGAACAGAAGTTTGAACACATTTACCGTGCCGGAGAGGTTGAGATTCATCTTGGTGATGGGCCCTTGGGGTGAGGATGGAATTTGGGGGGAAGGAGGTGAAGTTCTTGGTTGGATGGAGGATGGGCCGGAGAGATTTGGACCATGCGGGGAGCTTGGGCCACCTGCAGGATGCGCGACAGCTACCCCTGTTCGTCTGATAAGATAAGCACATGGGCCCCACTAGGTACAGTGACACCGGTCAACTCAATTAGACACCCGGACCCACTCGGCCGCCTCCCTGTCCGACTGCACATTTTCGCGTCCCCAGCGCGTCGTCTCCGGTTGCCGTGCCGTCGAAAGCCGCAAAATATTGACCACCACCCACGCCATCGAACTGTATGATCAGCGAAATCAACGACAACAAATCAATAGAAGCAACAAAATGTCCAGGAAAAGACCACAAGAGGCGGCCGTGGGCGATTCCCCGAGCAGCAGACTGAGCCAGAAGCGCTCCCGCCAGCAGCTGCACGACGGAGCCGACGACGAGCCCATCAACGGGACCCCCTCGAAGCGGAGACGCCAGGCAGCGGACCCTTACGAAGTGCCTTCTGACAGCGATGCCGCTGATGCCGCTGATGGTGAGGTTGCAGCAGCAGCAGCAGCAGGAGACCCCGATTCCGAACCCGAAGAACAGACCCCGAGAAAGAAACGAGGCCGCCCGCCGAAACCAGCAACGCCGCAAGCCAGCGGCGCCGTCACGCCCTCGAAGCTACGCCAGGTGAACACGCTGGTGACGCCCGTCAAGGCCGCCATCACACCGCGGAGGCGCCAGGCCGCTGACCGTTCCGCACGGAGGAAGAGCGCCAGGGCTCTGATCCAGAGCATCGTCGCCGACGAGGACAGCGACGGGGACGAGGGTCTCGCGCGCGAGATTTACGAGTCGAGCGAGGAGGAGGAAGACGAGGAAGCCGAGGAACAGAGGACACCAAGAGCAAGGACGACCACGTCGGCGACGAAACCATCCACAGCATCAGCACCAGCATCAGCATCACAACCCCCCGAACCAGACACACCATCAGCAGCAACCCCCCGCCGCCGCGGCCGTCCACGCAAACTCCCACCGCCCAAATCGCCAACCCCGCCCCGCGAGCTGCCCCCCCACGAAATCTACTTTGAGCAGAACAAGCCCGGCCGCGCAAAGACGTCCCACAACACCCTCGCCTCCCTCGACCTCCTCACGCACGAAGAGTACTTTGACCTCCGCCGCGAGGACGCCTTACAAAATAAAGACCCCCACGCAGACGACCTCGCCTACCTCGAGTCCCTGCACGAGTCCTCTTTTCCGCAGTGGCACTTCGAGCTCGCCCAGGGCTTCAGCCTCTGCCTCTACGGCCAGGGCTCCAAACGCAGCCTCGTCGCCAAACTGGCGGCGCACCTCTACGCCGCGGACCCGGAGGCGCCCATCGTCGTGGTCAACGGCCACGTGCGCTCCCTGACAGCCCGAGAAGTCTTTTCCACCGTCGCCGCGGCGCTCGATCCGGCGCTGAAACTGCCCGCCCAGACGACGGCCATGGTCCAGGCCCTCTCTTCGGCCCTCGCCTCATCATCACACAGCCGACCGATAACAATCCTCCTCCACTCCATAGACGCCCACCCCCTCCGCAAACAAACAACCCAACAACTCCTCTCCCAACTCGCCGCCCTGCCCCAGATCCGCCTCGTCGCAACAGCAGACACGCCCTCCTTCCCCCTCCTCTGGGACGCCGCCCAGCGCACATCCTTCAACTTCTTATTCCACGACGCCACAACCCTCCAACCCCTACAGGACGTCGAGCTCGACCCCGTAGACGAGGTCCACGAACTCCTCGGCCGCAAAGCCCGGCGCGTCAACGGCAAAGAGGGCGTCGTCTTTGTGCTCCGCTCGTTGCCCGAGAACGCAAAGAAGCTGTTCGAGCTGCTCGTTATCGAGGTCCTGTCCGCCATGGACGATGACGGTGGACAACAGTATGGGGCGGAGAATACGGGTGTTGAATACCGGATGGTGTATAACAAGGCCGTGGAGGATTTCATCTGCAGTTCCGAGATGGCGTTCCGGACGCTGCTGAAGGAGTATGCCCCCCCCCCCCTTATACCCCCTTTTCCCTCATTCTATCGGGTGCACCTTTGAAGCAGCGACTGACAAGACAGATTCCACGACCATCAAATCATTGAGAGCAGGAAAGACGCCCTCGGCACGGAGCTCTTGAGTATCCCCTTTAGGCGAGAAGAGCTCGAGGCCATCCTCGAGGACTTGATGTCCTGAGTCGACTTCGACATATCTATAAATCATTGTACATTTAGCGCATTCGGGAGGCGAAAGCATAGTGGCGAAACCTAGCATCTGTAGCTTCCCCGAACCGATTCACGAAAATCACACGGCACATAGACAGGCGAACCGAGGCGTTACATTCATAATCATGATCCCCCATGTTCTAGGAGTATTTTGTAAAAGAAACCCATCTCGTGAAACCCTGACCCCCCTGAAAACGCCAGTCCCATGTCACACCCCTACACCCCGATGCTTTTAACACACGTCCAGAGGACCACCGGCACAATAACGTTATCGTTTCCGCCGGTCAAGACCGCCTCCGTCAAGCTTGCCATGCTGGCGCAAAAGCCGGCGTTCCGCGCCGACGTGGGCCACGCCACATGCTGCTCCGCCGCGACGGGCCACCTGCCAACCCGAAGCCAGGTCGTTGCCGCCATTAGCCCAAGGAACACGGCCACCGCGAACGCGACGCTGCCCTCGAGACTCTTGCCGCCGCCCCAGACCCATTTCCTGTGCCCGTACCGCCTGCCAATAAGAGACGCGGCAGCATCGCCGAGACCGACGCAAATGACGCCCGCCACCATGCTGACTTCGCGCGTCGGCACCTCCCACCCGGTTAAGTAGCCGCTGCCGGAGCGCGGAAGGGTGGCGAGGGACAGCCAGAGAGGGATGGCGCAGCCGATGAGCAGAAACAGATGGGAGATGACGACGGGCCCCTTGTGGTCTCTGCCATCCACGTACGGCGTGAGGAACGAGGCGATGGGCCGGGACAGCGGCGGGAGCTGACTCGCCCGCAGGAGGTCGAGAATGAGGAAGATGGCGAGGACAAGCGATAGTGCCAAAGCCGCAAAGACGGGGTCGATAAAGGTTGCAGGGAGGAACATGCCAACCATCATGAAGTGGAAGACCTTTCGCCTCGTGTCCACTTCGTACTTGGGGTCCAGGCGAATGACCACGGTCAAGCCGACAATGACAATGGCAAGCCAGTACGCTGCCATCAGGAGCCGCGTGTTGGCTTCGCCAAAGTCGGCCAGCCGAATGTGCTGCACCCACCCCTGGTGGCAGGACGCCTTTGCAACGTCCTCGCTCAGGCGTGCAGGCAGACAGATCCATCTCTCCAGGTTCGCTTCAACCACTTTGAACCTGAACCACGGCAGCTCGCCAAAGAGATATCCCAGTGCCCAGCCGACGGGCTCGTTACCTAGCAGCGCATGGCGACCAATGTATTCTCGCACAGGCACCAAGATGATGAGCACAATGCAAGTGTAGACATATGTTGCGTACGACCATTTCCTCATGGTGGCTTGCGCCTCCGTCAGCTTGAAGAAGGAGCGGACGGTGGTCGACGCGGTGCGTTTCCTTCGGCCTGCTGATGTGTGTGTCAGGGACCGCCGCGGCCGCTGCAAAGCATACGGAAACGTGTTGCGTCGCTCAGCGGCGAACCCGTTTGGTGATGCTGGGGCTTTGCCATCAGGAGAGGCGCTCATCTTGCGCTCTCCTCGAGAGGGCATATCGGCCATGCCAAACGTCCGGACTCTCGTGGGTTTCGCAAAGGGTCCGTTGATGATTTCCTCTTCGGAATCGCCCAGTTCAGATGCCGACTCCTCCAGTGATGAGCCCAGCAGCTCGTGCTTGAAGCGCCGCATAGAGAGCCCCTCGGAGAGAAACCCAAAGACGGATGACTTCTTTGACGGGGTCCCAACGCGCCTGAAGCGCAGCCTCGGAACCCTAGCCAAGGCGATACCCCATCGAATCACCGGACCGCAGACGACGAGCACGCCCACGCCGCCTCCCCAGAGCAGCGCTTGGAGAATGGTGGCCTGTGGCGAGTGGGCGAGGAGGAGCACATTGATCAAGGCGATGGAGAGCAGCTGCAGCTCAGCCGTGAGCAGGCTCGTCGTAGTAAGATAGTGCAGCACTTCGAGCAGCGTCTGGTGCAGCGGGTACAGGAGAACAGCCGTCTCCGGGCTGATGCTCGGTCTAGATAGTGTCGCGTCCGGGTGTTGCTGCGAAAGCCACATGGGAACGCAGGATAGAACCCATTGCAGGGGGTTAATGGCTTCGTGAGCGCGAGCCGTCGGGATTAAGTATTTGGGTATCGAAGAAATGCTCAGAATAATGTTTGTAAGGATGACCGCCTGGTTGTCAGGGGATATTAATAACGCCACGAGGAGCGTCACAGACGGAGGATACAGAATGGGCGCAGGGTCAAAGACGGTGGGCACGGCAATGGCTGGCTTTTTTGACGAGGCCCTATGGCGGGTTGACCATGCGAAGAGTCGGACAGGGTAGAGGATCATGAGAGAGGTGATGAGCGTGGCTGTGAAGCGCAGTTCTGAACATGTGAGCTGCAGTTCCAACGTCGGACTGGACGTAACATACCTCTGATCCACGCGGTGAACAGTGGCTTCACCAACGGATTTGAGCGAACCACAGCGAAGAGCGAACCCACAATGATGAACTCTGACACGCGCCGGATGAGCTCCTTTGTGCGGCGGTAGTTGCGATCGTTGAGGAACCTGCGGGCCTCTTTCCGATCCTCCTTTTCCTTCTGCTTGCGCAAGGCATCTTCTTCCTGGTCTGGAGAGAAGAGGGGCGTCGACGAGCCTGAGAGCACCTCGTTCTGCCCCCTTAGTCCCTTGTGCAGGCGGACCTTGGGCGCCGGCAGCCCCTTGAGAAAGTGCTCATCGTCGGCTTCGGTGCCGCTGTCGCTACCCTGCGAAGAGTCCTTGGCGAACGATGGAAAGGGAGATGGGGTTCG